AAAAAAAAAAAAAAAAAAAAAAAACACGCATCAAAATCTGAATTTAGGAAGTTTATAAATCGAACGATTGTTAAATGATGGAACGAACGATGATCGAACGATTATCACAGACGTTCGACGACGACATCGATGGAAAAGGAACACTTCACACTTGGATGATTTAGTCGGACAACCAATGTTCGCGAACAATAACGACGGTATTAATGTAGTACCTTTATCGCTACCTATGAAATCACTCGAATGTAAAGCGACGCCGACTCCAGACGGTTAACCCGATCGATGCAATCGACGATTTTACGATACCGCAAAATATCTCGATATACCGGTGTATACCCACCCACGATTCAACCGTTCAAACCGTTTGAACGAAAAAAAGCTTTTCAATCGACCAACAAACTACTCGAAGAATATTCCGCCAATGAGCGTGAATATTCACCCCACGAGGACGATGATACTTTCCTCGGGGCATTATTAGGGTCACAGTTTGAATCCGCGCAGGACTATAAATTATGGAAGTCCTAAATCACGGATTATTTATATCAGCCACTTGGCCCGTGCACAAATCGATATGAAGTTTTGTCGGTAGGAGGGAGACGAATTGGAATCCAACCTAGCAAAAAAAGAAAAAAAAAAAAAAAAAAAAAAAAAAAAAGACGAAAAACACAAGGGAACAAGGTTGCGATACGTTCGGCAAAGTGCAGCCATTGAACGAGAACGTAATCACGCGACAAACGCTTTAATATTAAGAATGAGTCATACGCCTTCGACGAACATCGTTCTAAATGCAACCAAACCAGCCTGGTATATGTATGCTAGCGCTAACTTATCAAGAGATAATGTCGCTAAATCGTTACTAGTGCCGTTATAGTCGCTCATAAATTACCATCGCATCTCGTAATTGCACGGAGATATATTACCAACTTCGATTAATAACAATCACGATTTCTTTTTTCGACTAATCGTTATCTTTAAATATTTCGTTAATTAATGCCTCGTGAATCCAAATTCTTATAGATTTCTTATATAATTCTTTTATTTGAATAATTCAATTAATGTTTAATCTTAAATCATAATTCGTTTTTACGAGTTTCCGCTTGCAACTAGCATAAAAAATTACACGGAATAAATGAAAAGTCCTATTTTCGTATCTTTTTTCGTCGATAGATGACACTACTGTTACAAAGACCATAATATATAATTTATGGATTATTTACGACGATAAATAAATATACTTTTTCAAAATGTTTCAAAGAATGTATCCGTGTATAACTGAACTTATATTGTTCTACAGCCAACTGTAGTTTAATATATTCACACTGCCAACTGATCAATAGAAATTTAAATAACGCCAGCGAAACGCACATTGATTTTTCAAAGGGTTGAACGAGAAAACCGGAATCCTCGAACAGTAATAACCACAATAAGAGACTATGCAAGCGTCGTGTACAAGGCCGAGGGACTTTAAGGAACCGCCGAGGCAGAAGAACTAAATGGGGATTCACACGTGGCTGATCTTTCAGGGATGAATCACGAGAAGAGGCTAAATTTTTCAACCTCCAATATATTTTCGCATCGTACTCCCAGTATATGTAAGATACGGAGAGAAATATATCTGGAAATTAAGTTTTTTTTAAAAAAAGGATTAACAAGAAATTCATGGATCGCAACGAGTCTCCGTAAAAAAATAAATATATTCGAGTAGGTGGATCAAATCTGCTAATTTGTCAAATTGACAAAGGAACATTTACATTATACATTTCTGTACGCGATGTCGCCAACTCACGAATGCAGATTTCGATCATTTCATGTGAATATTTAGTTCAATTATATTTTGTATACGAAATTTTCCAACATATGCTCTATTTCTTTTTCTCAAACAATAAAATTCGATCGCTGTGATTTTTCAAAGAATTTTCTTATGTGAATGATTCGTGATTCGTGACGAGAAATCGTCATGAAATTGCTATGGTTATAAAAGCGATTAAAAAAAAAAAATCTCAATTTAAAAGATAAACAATCTTTAAAATGTATCGCGCGAAAGCCGAACAGTAAAATATTAATTTCGTATATATATTCGATGAACTGTACACGATACGATAAAGTTAACACGAGGGTCCATTCGCAGCTGGGCAATAATTCAACTGATAACGCGTAAACATAACTAATATAATATAGAGAAGACATTTGTATTTGTTTGAACGCTGAGTGATTTCCGAAAAACAATAGGGAAAGAATCACGGAAGTCGCCTTTTGTCTACGTCCTCTAAACGCGTAATATCTTGTTTGAAGCTCCGAGAAACACTTTGACTAGGACATAAACCTTTTGTAATATTTAAATAGTTGATACTATTTAAGATAGTCTAAGTATGAATTTTATGTATTCTGTAATATTCTTTTTTGCTTTATTCTTATCATAAAATTGATCGGATGATCGTATCGAAAAGAGATTTAATATATTATATATCTAATATAATATTTATAAATATAATCTAATCTAATATATAATCTATAAATTATATTATATAATCTATAGATTATATATAAATTATATTATATAATCTATAGATTATAATAATATTATAAGAACGAAAAAAGAATGTCGTTTCGAAAATTTATCCAAAATTTGAAAAATATAAAAAAAAGAAATAGTAAATTTTTGGATGATGAATCACTATTACAACTACTGCTTACCATAATCCTTCAAGATTTCAACACCAATCCCTAAACTTCGATAATTCTAGTTTCCATTGAAGGTAGGTTAGAGGTTTACCTAACTCGGTCTCTTTGAGGACGAGCCTTTGTGCCATCCAAGCCAGAGTATTTCCATTACAGCGAAGAATATTCGATTGACACGAATTAATAGAATTCGATTGAAAAATAAATTTTTTTGTCTTCTTTATTTTTTTCAGTGAGAACACGCAATTCATATATATACGAACGATACCAACCACAAGAATCTTACATCTATCTATCATACCGCGATGCAACATGAGAGCCAATGGTAGCTCTCACCAATGTGAACGAATAAAAGATAGCAAAAAAAAATTTATACAAGATGTTGGTGGGAGCTGCAAACATTGACACATAATCGGTCATAGCATGCTTACATATAAAAACATTTGTACCTGGTAAAATCCAATATTTATTGAGAGAGTTCATTTAATCTTAATCACGTGGAAGAACAAACAATTCGATGCATTAATTATTTATCTTCAATAACATCCTATATTATTAATAATATATATTTAATTTGTAACAATAAAATCCAATTATTTTGGAATTCGTGAACGAATACGTAATAAAATCTGCTGAGAAGATGATGGCTGGTATAAACATCTCTGTATTCGGTGCACTCCCTCTTAGCATAGATAAAAGATATAAATTTATCACGGTAGAATTACGTCACGCGTAAGACCCGAACTTCGACGATAACTGAAACGCTTAAATTCAACGTCATTGTTCTTAATTTACGCGATGGTCATCCCTATAGTTGATTTTTTCGACAAGATAAATCATCATAATAGGATAAATGACAAAAGGTATATTGTAAATGATACTATGAAATGAAAAGAATAAAAAACTTTGCAAATGAAATTAAATAAGATCAGTTAAATTCTATTTAAGATCGATCGAAATGAAATATTCAAAGTTTCATTCGTTCCCGCAACGTGAACACTTTTGAAAAGGTTAGAAAGAATTTTCTGATTATGAACGACAACACATGAGATGGCTCCATTTTGTTTAATATGTATCATAGAAAAAAAACTATTTGATATGCAAATATCACCATGGCTAGAGATATTTTTAGAAGAAAGATATAAATGAAAAAAATATAATAATGATGATCGTATTCAAGATCGTATTCGGAATAAAAGTATATATATATTGAGAGATTAAAAAAATAAATATAAAGAAAGAATGCTTATTGCAAAAAAAAGATAAAGAAAAAAAAAATAAACTTACCAAGTCGAAGTTCTCCAAAGTTGCCAGAGCCAATTTTCTTGCCAACACGGAAGTTCGGACCGACCATGAGTACATTAGAGGAGGAGGTGACACTGTACCTGGAGGAATACGCGTTGAATCTGGTAGCATTACCGCTACCACGAGAGATCCTCTTGGTCGTTTCCTGTTCGCGTTCAGAGCTACGCGCGAGCTGTAGCTGTGTATCTCTACCGTCTCTTTTCTGCATGGTGCGAGTGTCCTCTGTCGTGGCAGAATAATCCGCGACAGTCTGTTTAACGTGACAGAAAGGATCGATTGTATGATAAAAAATTGCCAATGTTAGTCCCGGATCGAATTAATGATGTAAACGATGCACGGAGTTTAATTGGGGATCGATCCCCATTCTTGACATATTTTCTTCTTTGGTCTTCCCTTGGATGGCCGCCGATGAAAAATAATACTCCAGCGGCTTCCTGGGAGAATACACATATGCACGCACACACACGCACACACCGTAACACAGCGAGTCGCAGGTGTCACGGTTTGTCGGTCGATGCCTTCAGGGGATCAATCCCCATGCTATCCTAACCTCGAAATGAATTTTGGGAAATGTTTACACTTAAAAACGTAATGAAGAGAGCAGATGAGAACACGCGCGAAACACACACAGCTCTATCTCTCTCTTTTTCCCTTCTTCTATCTCTTTTTAAGGGGCTAGTAATTATCACAGACGGGAGAGAGTGTTCGTCGTGTCGAGGACCCTGGACGATTCCATACCAATTTCGACCTGCCTCTTTCACCCGGCCGGCCGGGAGGAATAGTCAACGATAGATATCGCGTTTCAGTCAATACGGCGTGCATCGCCGTGACTGTTCTGTCGCACGGGAATACACTCGGAAACCTCCTCCATTACAAACGGCCCCGCCGCGTGCGATCGTGATCGTACTCAATCGTGCCCCGATAGTGCCGCGGCCTCACCACCACAGACTCGATTCTGCGGTTAGATTTGGGAGCGCCGCCGAAGCGGCTCTGAACTCTTTCCAGTGACACGCACACTAGCACATGCACTTTGCGAGCTTCGTATGTTCTTTCTTGTTGAAGGAAAATCCGCAATCGTGTCACCAGTATGCCCGATCGGCTATTATATGCCCACACACAAGCCCGTATTAACTGTAGTTCCTTCGCAGTCTTCACTTTCCAAGTCTTCCCAAATTTTTATTTCGAAAACTGATTATACAAATATGATTATCTTTAGATATACCGTTTAATGATTGCACACACGATATTTGAAAGACTTGTCGAACGCGGACAAACGATCGCGGACAAGCTTACGCTCCTGTCTCTCGCGCTCGACTCGACATGGGTGAGATTTGTTACGAGGCTAGCAGTGCTGCCAACTTAAAACGAAATAAAGCCGCGTTTTCAATATTATCGACCTTTCTTTTTAAATTATCTATTTTTATGTATCAATGATTTCTAATTGTTTTTTTATGTGATGAAATATTTTTTTATTTATATTTAGATTTCTTTATAGATATATATTTAAAGTTATAATAAAATAATTTAAAAATGAAAAATTAATTAGTATTAAAATTTGTTACTAGACCAGTATAAATAGTTATTTATGCATCAGTATTTATTTAGTGATAATAAATATAATAAAATATGGCGTTTATTTAAATTTTCAAATAGAATCAAAAGAAATCTAATAAGTCTAATATCATATGTGTAAATATTTTTATATATAATTTAATGTATTGTTTTTATATATATAAATAAAATGTATTTTATATATATATTTATATAAATTTGTATAATTTGTATGTTATTTGTAAAACTAATCTTTGTCATAAATAAAAATATTATTATATTAAATACTTGCGTATCCATAGTAACCGATTTGAAATTTACGGATTTCTTTAATATTTATTAAATATTTGCTGAATTTATATTAATTATTTTTATGTATTATATTATGACGCAATGGGGGAAGAATTAGCAAATTCTGATGTTCGAGTTGTATTAAATATAAAAGAAGGTACATTTTATGATTATTTATTTGTTAACCTTTTGATATGACATTTTCTTTGTATAAAATAACATAAAATATTATTACGATAAATAATTATTATTTGCACCACAAAAATGATTTATAATGAATGAAATTTTATAAATGTTATTTTAAAATTTATTTTTAAATTTAACAAATTTAATATTATATATATATTTGATATTAATGACTTTAGGCAAAGGTTTTGAGCAAATCTTACTACCTACATTAATTGTTGCAACTTTAAATGGACATTCTTTAGAAACTGAAATAATAGAACCAAATCCAAATCCTGAATATGATCATGATTTGGTTTGGGAAGTAGATAAAAATAAATTACGGAAGTATGTATCATATAATATTTAATATGAAATAATATTTATTATTAAAATATAATTTTAACTTTATAGGATGAGATCAGGGCAAGTTCCATTAAAATTAGAATGTTTTGCTGTTAAAAGCAATGACAACAAAGAAAGATTAGGATATCTTTTACTTAGTTTAAGATCAGCCCAAGTTTTTACTAAATGGGGTGCTAATAGTATAAAACCTAATTGGCATAAATTATTAGGTTTGAAAAATGAACTCAAAATACATAAACCTGAGTTACTTCTTGGTTTAAGTATTCATGATCTGGAAAATACAACAGGAAATGCTCAATTAGAGGTAAATTATATGTACTTATGTAAATGTTTAATAATATATAAAATTATATATTATGAAATTACAGTTAAAAAATTTAAAAGAATGTCAACAAACAAATGTTCAACTCAATAAAGTAACACCAATTTTACTTCGCGATGAACGTCTTATACAATTAGGTCCATTAAATATTTGTCATGAATTATTTTTAATGAATATTACTGCTATATCTGCAATGAATGTAGATTCATTATTACCAATGAAATATTATACAGATATGAAAAATAATTTGTATTTTTGGTGTAAGATATTAGAAAATGATGTATACTTTAATCAATCAAAAAAGGAATATGGAGATCTTTGGGCACTTAATGAAAAAATTGTAATAAGGATCAGAAGTTCATTAAAAATTTTCAAAGAATATTTACAATTAAAACCGTTTCTGTTTATATATTTAAAATATAAAGATAATATAGTAGGTCAATCAGAAATAAATTTGCAATCATTAATTCCTACTGATAATATTGAAGAATTTCTTAAAATTACTGAAAATAGTAGTAGTATTTTAAATCAACGATGTTACTTATGTAAAACAAATTTTGTTGAAAATAATGAAATAGAAAAAATATGTAAAAATCCATACCTTGATTTACAGTTAAAATTACAATATGTAGGTAAAACAAATGTAGGAATGGATGTTTCTAATGCAATGATTAATGATTTAATCATTCCTTTATCTAAGGATATAAATAATTTAAAACAAGTAATAAATTTTTTATAAAATAAATTGTGCAGTTAAATTATTAAAGATTATCAGAAAATTTAACATTTTTAATTGTAATTTTCAGAATTATAGTGAAATAGATTGTCATAGAAATCCTGCTGGTGATTTTGGAAAATATATTAGTGGAATTCAAACTACTTCAAATGAATATGATAATATAAATAAACATACTATAGATTATAACTTTATAAAGGATCAACCTGTTAATGCTATTTGTTCACATTCAGTTGATACATTCCTATGTCAACCTAATATTGATAATTATTCTAAAAGTGTAGAAGCTTATCATTCTTATTATTTGAATATTTTATTAGTAGCAATTAAAGCAAAATCTTCAAAATTAGCAATACCAAATATGGAAATTCGGTATTAATCATTAATTATTACATGCTAATTTAATAATTACAATTAGTTTTTTAATTTACTAAGAATTTTTTTCTTGACTTGCAATTAAATATATTTTTTTTCTTGAATTTAGGTTTCATCATCCAAAAACTGGAGTTACATCAACATTTCATTTAAAATTATCCTTTTCTTTAGGAGAAAAAGTAAAATTACAAGATATAGGATGCAAATTTCAATTTATATCGGCAGTAGATGAAATAAAACAATTATTATTATCTTTTCCACCAAAAATTAGCATATATAAAATAGAAGGAAATACTAAGACTTGTATATCCCAACTTAAAATTAATGCAAAAGAATTATTTTGTCCAAATAAGGTAATATAAAATATATAAAATAATATAAAAAGTATGATATTTTATTCTTGTATATACTTGTTAAAGTTTAATAAATATATCTCAGCCTGAGTGCCAATATGATATACCATTATATGATATGGAACACAATAGTATTGGTAATTTGGATGTTTTATTAAATTTAGAAGATCATGGTCCATATTATAGGATTAAAAGAGTTATTCCTAGTAAGTTTATTTTTCAATAAATTTATTTTTTAGTATAAACAATAAAATAAATTATTTCGATTTAGATGAAAATTTAGGCCCACCAATCTTTGATGATACTTTAGCATATAAAATAGTAGATGAATTAGAGACTTGGAAAGAACGACAAATGGAAATATTTAAAGTTGAGGTAAAAAATTTTAATATAGTAGAAAAAAAATATATAACTATTTTAAAAAAATATATATTTTTCATAATAATTTAGTTAAAAAGAAAGGAAGATCGTCATTTAAATTTATTAAGTCAAGAATGGCAAAAACATAGAGAAAATTTAGAAACAAAACTCGCATGCAGTGTTGAGCAATGTAAAATGCTAGCAAATAGTTTGAATAATGCTACAGAAGATTTAAGAACGCGAAGATTAAAAAGTCTTGAGAAAGAAAGTAGACTAATTAAAGCAAATGAAGATTTACAATGGAGATATGAAATGAAATTACGAGAACTTAAAGAATCATCTCAAATAGTTCAAGAAGAACTTATGGCAAAAGTTAGTAAAAATTTATATTAAATAAATATTTACTCGATATTAAATTATACATTTTTAATACTTTATAGATAAATATTCTTGAAAAAAGAAAAACAGCTTTAGAAGTACAAGAAGAACAATTAAGTATTGAAAATGAAAGATTACAGTCACTTGTAGCAAAACAATCTGAAGAATTAGAAAATTATCAAAAAGGCTCTCTAACCCAAGATCAAACGGCAAATTTATTACAAGAATTAAAAACACTTGAAGAAAAATTGCAAAATGCACAAGAGAATAAATCTTTTTTTAAAGAACAGTGGGCAAAAGCAGTTCGTGAAATACATCGTATAAAAATGGAACATCAACAAGCTATTCAAATTCAAATTAAAAATAGTAAAGAAGAATTACAAAATTTAGAGTATGTGCATTATGTAACAAAAATATTGAAATCATTCAAAAAATATTTTGTATTAATTATTTTTTTTTTTTTCTTTTTATTTTTAGCCTAGAAGAGATATTGTGTGCAGATACTACTGCTTTGACAAATGATCAAATATTATTAAATGAGATTCAAAAAGAAATCGATGTAATCAAGCCAAAAGCATATTTTATTGAAAAAGATGCTTATTCTCAAGTATTTACACCAAATTCTATAAGTTCCAAAATTTCACAAAATGTTAACAAAAATACATTAAAAAAATCAGAAGAACAAAATGAACGATTGCAAGCATTACTTGAAGAACGTGATTCTCTTTTAAAAACAGGAAGTTACACAATTGACGATACGGTTATTACGAAATTAAATAATGAAATCAGATCTTTAATGATGAAATGATTTTTTATATAAATTATACTATAAAATATTTCAATATGATATAAAATATAATATAAAATACAATTTACAATTCCTTTTTACATGAATATATATATACACACACACACACATATATATATATATATTTAAATAAATATATTTTATTTGATTTTTTCTATTAATTCTTATTGTATTACATATAAAATATATATTTTTATGTAATTTAATTAATTAATTAGTTAGCAAATTAATTAGTTTTAATTTTTAAAAACAATATACATAAAAAAGGCTACAATTTAAAATTTATATTATAAATTTGTTTATACTATAAAACATAACTATTTTTTTTAATCTTAACAAAAAATATTAAGTTAAAGAAAATTTTTTTGATTGCATATCTATAGCTTCTACGAGATCCTTTCCAAGAGCATAAAAATCTTGAATCATTGCCGAAATATTTAAAACTAATTGATTATTATTATTACATTTTCGGCCATTAATATTTGATATCTTAAAGTCCTTATTTTCTAATGCAGAAGGTTTTAATAAAACTCCAATTACATTACCACCATAAGTATCATGAAAAAATAAGGCAAATTCATCATAACCATTCTAAAAAAAAAAGGGGGGAAAAAGAAAAACATTTAATATATTAAAAAATGAAAATATTAAGTACTAATATTATATATGAAATTTCATTTAAACTTACTCTAAGATCTTTTAAAAAATATTGCACAGGATCAAATCCTACAACTGGAATCTTTTGAGCTGAATGTCGTTTATATGGATGCCATTCAATAATAGGATGTGCATCATTGATATCAACTGCTTGTAGTCTTCTAGGAATCATATGTGGTTTTAAATATATCAAACAATCATATTCTGTAAGTGGTGGCCTAAATAATGGTTTAAAATCTAAAAGAACTTTTGTAAAAAATTGAATTTCATATAACTTTATAGATTGTTTAGCTAGCATTGTAATACGATTTAAGACTAAAGTAGATGGTGCTTTTTTAGTCCACAATGATCTTTGTTGATCATAAGGAGTAGAAATAAATAATGGTGGTAAAGAATTACGAGATGATCCAAAAAGAGTTTCTACTGCTATTATATCTTCTCCTAAAATGAAATATATTAGATAAAAATAATATAAGTATAGTAATACAATAATATAATAACAGTTTTTTTAATATCAATCGCTTACTTACTAGACATTTCATCATTGAAATTTACAATAATAGGATCAGTATTCCAATGACCTCTAGCAAACATTTCTAAGACTCTTAAAAATCTTACTTGAGGTGTTTGAGAAGATCTATATGGAGTAGGTATTAAATATATTGAAGCTACAAGTAGTTCAACTACTATATCTGGTATATGAGAATCATCCAATAGCTGAGCAGATAACCAACGTTTCGTTAAACAACAAGCAGCTCCAAAGGATGGTTGTTGAGTATGTAATCTAATATGTGACATTGCTATGTAAATAAAAATATATCAATTTTTTAAAATAAATCATTCTTACCCATGCAAAGCACTAGTTAGTTTCGGTAATTCGAATAATCTATTTTCTAATTCTATTGATTCTTCATTATCTTTATATTGTATAACTCCATTTTCAGTTACTTGTTTCAAGCAACTAATTTCTTTTTGATGTGATATTCTTAATCGAAATACAAATCCATCCTAAAAAAAAATTAATTCTTTTTATAGTTTCATTATTTTTTAATATTATTTTTTTTACTGATATGTAATAAATATTTTCTTAAAAATAATAATATAATATAATATATATAATAATATAATATAATATAATAAATAATAATATAATATAATCTTTAAAAATAATAACCTTATATACATCGATATGCGAAAAATTTGCATTTGTTTTTAACATAAATTGTTTTCTAAGACATTCTGCTATTTGTATGTGAAAAGCAGCTTTTGTTTTTCTAAAAGCTTCCAATTCATCTGGCCATTTTCCACTAGTTGATAATTGCAAACTCACTTCAAGTGGACTAACATATCTAGGTGCTATTGTTACATTTTTAGACAATATTAAACAATTTTTAATTTTTTTAAATTCTTTAGTAGGCCGATAAACTGTTGCAAGTGGTGGAAAAACATCCGTATATCTAAAAACCGCGCTAGATCCTTGAACCCCATGTATTGACAACGGAATGTCTGTAAGAGACATCAAATCTTTTTCAAAACGATTAAATACATTTATTGCTTTTAGAGCTGCTTCTTCTCCCGTTCCATAAACAAAATGCGTTATTTTGACCTAAATATTATAAAATATTTAATTTATTTATAAGATTAAAATTTATTATAAATTGTTACCTTTTGCAATTTTATAAGTTCCTCTATTTGATCAGCAATATATGTAAATTTATTTTTAGGAAAATCTAATTTTTTTGTTAATAAAAAATTTATAATTTTTTTACATATTATTCTTTTTCCTGATAATGTTTTGCCTTTTGACCAAATTACTGCTTCTCGAATAGTTCCATCTTGAAATCGTCGTAATTCTGATTTTTTGTTCCAAAATTTTCGAAATTCAATTGCCTAAAATATAATATTAAAAAATATTAACAATCTATAATCATACTTAAATTGTTTACATACTTCTGGTAAATTTGCTTCAGGGCCTTTAGTAACAATATTAAAACAGTGTTCTGGATTTAATTCCAATCCAAAAAAAATCTTCCCAATATTGTCGCAATTATCCTCTGTAAATTCCCATTCTGAAATTTCTTTCGGTAAAACACAAATTTGATGGACTCTATTTGCCAATCCTTTTTCAAAAATATTGTAAAGTATCTTTATTATTTGTATTCGATAATTTGGACCATAATTTAACTTATCCTTATTACTTGAATTAACACTTACTATATTTTTTAATATTTGTGGATCCTCAAACCTATACATTTGTTAAGTTTATCATTTAATTAATTAAAATATTTTTTAATTTATAAAAATAATTACCATACAAAATGATCAAATGCCATATAAAATGGTACTTTTCTCATAAAAAGTGATTGAAAACTATTTGCATGTGCACTGTCCAAATGATTTAAAGAAAGTTGTGCTTCTTTTTGTATCCATTTATATGTAGATTTAAATATATGTGTAGTAATATTATAGTAACCAGTGCTATCCAAAAATACACAATCATAATATTTATGATAGCTAAAAATTCTATTTTTACTATCTTCATTTTGATTCATAGTTACTCCAGATTCACACCAATCAACTTGTACTAATAAAATAA